TGTTGGAAAACGTTATTTCGTTTTTTTATGTGAAAGATCTATTGGCACATTGAAGTAAAATCGGCTGGTTTGCCGTCACGGCAAACGGTATGAGACGCTCTGATGCCATCAAGCCTCCTCCACGCCACTGTTTAAGACTCCCTGTTCTGTTTGTGCCAGCATATTGCTTCGTGGCTTCTGTGTATAAACTGAGTACTATTTTTATCGGATTATAGTATACTTAACACATAAATCGAATATTATTGCGTTTAAAGTAATTAAAAAAATTAATCAGTAATATAATTATTTATACTATTATAAATAATAAAAATATGAGTGACAGACATACATGATAAAGTAAACAAAAAGAAATTATATAAAATTACTTGTAAACCGGTGTCCATTAAAATTTTCAACTTTTTTTTACCTATCGATCTATACATTATAATATATAAAAGTAAAGTCCGCAGCCACCGATTAGATAAACACATAGTCGACGGCGCATCAGGGTCTCGGTCCGCACCGCAACCTCGATGGCCCTTAGATGTTTCCCACAGCGGAGGGCTAAAACCCGTGGGTTCTGGCTAGCCCACCGGTTCTGCGTCAGATGAAGTTTTAATAGTCTCGGGACTGAAAGCACAAACATCAGTTAATATAAGATACAAGATACGACTGGGCAGGCTTGTCCGGGGAAGTACCACGACCTCACAGAAGACCGGCGTAAAGTGGAGGTATAATACTTTCGCGTATCGTCTCTTGAGTGAGGTAGCCGGAGCCCAATTTTCAAAAGGTTGTCGATGCATCTACAACCCTCGGTTGTAGCAGATGTCCAGGGGCGGCGGTATTCACTTGACATCAGGTGATGGTCTTCTTCATCTTCTTTTTTTTATTAATGGCTTGCTTTGTGACTTAACACAATTCTGCCGATGTCAAGTTGTTCATAAAATTCTCAATTTTATAATATTCACATTAAAATTGTAATAGACAAATAAAAACATGCCAATGATTAATATTATGTATATAATATTAACTGCAGCTGTTAATTTTAAGCAAGTTTAGCAATGACAATGAAACATTTGTGATAATTTCATGTATAATACTCACAGTTCTATATAAGGATAAATAAAGATGGTTTATTTTAAGTTTTTATAACTGTTATGATAACCCTTACTTTATTAAAGGAGGCCGTTCTCGGACGCATGAAGGGTACTCGCTATATAAATAAACCACCAGGTTTTGAAACCTTTTTTAATGTATTTAAGAATCTTCTAAAAGAGAAAAATCGTAATTGGGTATGCGTTATTTGGACACTGTGTGATATAATTAGGAATCGATTTTATTAAATCATAATCATCCTGTTTCTATTTTAGCTCTATGTGCACAACAAAATTATGTGAGTATGGAGGGAATTGTGGATCAATAAAAGATATCACAGGTTCTGAATTTATTTTCAATTTATACTTTTTTAAATTTGATTTAAAAGCATAATGTAGGAATAATATATAGGTACAACAAAGAGCAAACATGCAAACCAAATTATTGTTTCAAAAATTGGTTACAAGTGTAAAAAAAACAGAAAGTCATCAATTTGACCGTGTTACATATCCGTTCCCATAGAAAAGTGCAACTAAGCAGCGTCTTCGCAACATCGTGACACAATCCCACGATCAAGTTTTGCTGAAACCATGTAAACGGACTACACATCCAGGCCGCGCTCACGTTCGTGGGAGCGTTGTCAGGCGACACCGCTATGCTCCACGACTTCCAATGTAGCTGACGTTCATGGAAACGTTGCCAGTCGACACCGCTGCTTACCGTATTCAAGAACTTTGGTTAACGATTTATTTTAGTACGACATTCATTCTTGATCTAGCATCGATCGGAATCAGACTTAGGTTAGGCTAGCTATAGTATAGTTATAAGTTTAAATTGTAAGCTCTAATAAACAAGTTAAAGCAAATTGGTTTTTTTTTGAGGCCTCCGACAGCTACTTCTATAATTACCGTATCGAAGTTGTTTATTTATTGGATGTGCGTATTGAGTTTTTCAATTTTATAATTTAAGTTCTTGTTGCATTGAACAGTATTTTATTAATAGTACATGTTGAAACTTTTATAATATTAATAATGGATAGTTTTTTTATCTTATAAATTTATTTGGGTCAGAAGTTCTGTTTAAATTATGATTTCATTTAAATTTTGAATACTGGTCGGAAACATTTAAACTGACTTTTACCTCATTTTAAAGTAAAAAAGAAAATGTTTTCTTTTTATTTCAAACTTTATAAATGGACTCGCGAAAAAAGAGAAAGATAGAATCGCGTTTTTTGCGCTGCACAGTTGTAAAATTTGGAAATGACACCGAAGTTCGTATTCATTTTGAATATGAATTCCTCTTTAATTTCTTTTTAACGAGTCTTTTCTGCATAGGCATACTAGTACGTTATTTCACTTAGTATATTACTAGTAGCCGTGATAGTTAGTAGCCGTGATAGCTCAGTGTCCGGGCGCTCGCCTTAATTCAATGTACTCGAGCAACCTGAGTTCGATCCCCGGTGCCGGCACCAATGAAGTTTTTAACTTTAAGTGCTGACTTATCACGTGCTCCGCGGTGAAGGAAAACATCGTGAGGAAACCTGCATATTTTCGAAATAATAACAAAAAAAAAATATATATTTCGAATATATGTGAAGTCCGCCAATCCGCAGTGGGGCCGCGTGGTGGACTATGCCCTGATACCCTCTGTATAGAGGAGGCCTTTGCCCAGCAGTGGGACATGTATAGGCTGTTACTTTACTTTACTTTTATTACTTTTACAGATTATTGGAAAAAGAAAGTTCAAGAGTATAACGAATTTTTACATGAGGATCTAAAATATGGCGTTGATGAATCTAAGCGACATGACAAAATGAAGTACGCGGAAGATGTGTTTGGTATTGATGGATCGTTTCGCCGGCTAGAAGTGGATTAGAGGATAATATTATTTATAATAGCATTATGTGGAATATTTTATTAATGATATAAAACAACGCAAAGTTATAATAGTATCCTTATATTATATAAATAATAATTATTATTTAAAAAGTGAATTAAGACAAACTGATGAAATCAATTTATCTGTGTTTATTGCCACTAACTGTTCTTATTCTGTAAACAACTGTTGTAGACAACATTTTTAAGAGCTCAATTATCAACTTTAACTTTAAAAAAATGAGATCCAGTGGTAATAATTTGTTTTTTAATGACAATTATTGTACTGTAAGGTATATTGTATAGCTTATATAATTACATATCTATATAAATAATTTTGCTTTTACTTACTTTAAGTATATCAGACAAACCAGGTTACATTTGCTGGCGCGGATATGTATATGTTACGGCTTCGGCTGTAGATGTATGAGGTTTCGAAGACAGGTCAAAAAAACTCAGGCGACTTTAATTTGGAATATTATATTTTAAAGGTATATTACAACGGATTCCGAATTTGTATTTTTGTCACAAAGCTTCGAATTGGAATGAATGTTGCACCCTCCCTTCTCTCTGACGTCGGGTCGGATGTGCCACCGTCGCACGCGATTGTCCCGTGTTGTCCTGGTGACGCGTAGATGTCGCTAGTATGCGCTGACATACCGGCCGCCTTGAAAGATCCTGTTTTCAAAAAAAAACATTATACAGCACATAAAGTTTAAACTGTTTGGGCAGCATTCTCCTCATCATCCCTAGTTGTCCATCCCAGGAAGAGGGCAGATTTTATTGAATGCTCGCTGTAGACGTTTGTATGGTGGCCACTCGAGCCACGCAATCCTTGCCTGGGAACACCTTTAAAATTCTCCCCATACGCCAGGGAAACGGGGGTAAGTTATCCTCTTTGATGAGTACGAGAGTGTTGACAATGAGATCTTGCTTATGTGTTTTCCACTTAGTCCTTGTTTGTAATTCCGATATGTATTCAATAGACCACCGCTTCCAGAACTGTTATCGTAGTTACTCCACCTTCTCATAGCGTGTTAAATGGCTTGCCGATGTCGTAGTGAGGTCATCGCTTGCTGGTGCTACGAGTGGCCGGCCGATAAGGAAATGAGCTGGACATAGCGGTGAAAGGTCATGTGGGTTTGCGGAAAGTGGTGACATTGGACGGGAAGTCAGAACAGTTTCAATTTGGGTTAAAACCGTGCTGAACTCCTCATATGTTAGATGAGCTGTAACACACGTCGCATTCCCATAATGCACCGAAATGAGCTGCGTATTTTTGAATAAATTTAAATTCGATATTTTCATTAAATAAATTATTAATAATGTGCTGCGAATTTGCCTTGAACATTAAATTAATTTCCTTCATAGCGTCTTTAAAATTTTACCGATTATCTGAAAATATTTGTGATGGTCTACCCCGACGGGCAATGAACCGTCTTAACGCTAAAATGTAGTCTTGAGCAGACAAGGAACTGACAAGTTCAAGATGAATAGCTCGTGTCATGAAACAAACAAACAAATGTAGCCCTTTTCAAGCTTGGCTCCCCTACCTTTGCGGTTTAGTATTAGGATGGGTCCAGCATAGTCCCTCCATATCGAATGAAGGAAAGCCAGCTTCCAAATGTTCAGATGGCAAATTACCCCGATATGAAAATGATGAAAACTGTTCTATCTCAAAGTTTACCATTGAAATATATTTAAAGAATATTTTTTACATGACATTATTTTCAAGAAATTATTTCATATAATATAAACTTTATCAGGAAAATTACTATTCTTTTTTAGGTGTTATCGCTTCGGTTGTAATCATATCTAAGGTGCGTATACTAATCAAACAGTGTACCTACTTAAATAAGTAGATGTTCGATACTACTACTACTAGAGCGGTGTTACCAAAATTGTGCAGAATAAAAGTTTAAATAAAAATAATAGTACGTTATAAAGATATTTATATAGGCTCGCTTTTGAAATAATATTAATTTCACTGATACTTGCTTTAGTGTTATAAAAGAAATTTAAACAGTATTGGTTGCAAAACTGACATTTAAAATGGCGGTACGTCCATTACCTGCTGAGTTGGCTGAAAAGGCTTGTATGGAGTTAAATGAGGAAAAAAGCAAATTAGAGGAAAGCTTGCAGCATTTGAAGGAATGGCTCTCTAAGCAGCCGCATTTGCGGGCACGGACTGGTATAGTTTGTCAACTTATTTTATTTTAAGTAACTTATTTCGCTAATTGGAGCTTTACGGTCTTTGGAGTATCAGAAATGTTTAATTTAATTTGTTGTATTTTTGTACTTTTGTTTTGCGTACTTTTATTTATGCAATAAATTGAGATTATTTGAATAGCAAATATAGTAAGGTGATTGAGACACAGGCGTTGTGTTAAGTATTGATTTAAATAGGTATGTTATTGGTTCAGACGTTCTGTACGGTAATTTCGGTCATCAGAATAGATAAATGAATAAATGAAGTTTGTTGCGCCTTATAAGTAATTCTATGAAAGAAAATGTTTCCGATAAAATATGCAACAGCTTTTATATTATTTAATATATTGTGTAATACATGTGCTAAATTGATTGGTTTGAATTAATTTAAACTTTCTTTTTTCTTTTTAAGGAATTTAAATAAAAGCTTGTTTTTAAAAAGATTTTTTACCATTAATTTATTTTTTATTATCTATTTTGATGTTCCAAGATTTCAAAGCCCATTTATTTGTATAGCAGCTATTACGACTTGCGCCTTGTCGTGCAAAAGGAGCACATCTATGGCCAATTTCCCCTTTTTTTCGCTTTTTTTATAAGTGCAGCGTAATGCAGATCAGATCAGCCTTCCGTTTATATTCAATAAAAAGGATTCTCTCTGAAGCCCAGAAAACAATGGTCATAAGTTTCTAAGCCTACGGGGGTATCTAGAATTTCTTCGAGGTTGTATGCTTTTTGTTCCACTGCATGGAGCCCTAATTCGGGTCAAGCTCATAATGATGAACCTAAGTTGGGTCTCCCGTTAAAATCAATTTAAAAAAAAACATCAGACAGTGGTAGGACGACGCGACAGTCTTTACTTATTACACGAATGGGCTGGTCTATCCGGGGAAGTACGACGACCTCATAGAAGACCCGCCTGAAGTGGAACACTTCTGCGTTTCGTCTGATTAGTGCGGTAACCAGTGCCCACTTTGTTAAGAAGTGGCAACATATCTGCAACCCTACGGGTGTTGCAATGACCATGGGCGGTGGTCATCACTTAAAATCAGGTGAACCACCAGCCCGTTTACTATCTTCTCACATAAAAACAATCTTTATCTTTACCACAGGGAATCAAAAACTCGCCACAACACTAAAATTAGTGAAACTTCGTGATCACTGGCGTGAAAATTCTCAGTTAACGCACTTCTTGGACATGTCAAGATGATCGCCTCTAATTTTCAAAATGACACGCCTATGATTTCAAAGCTGACACACAATTTTTAAGCTGACACGCCAATGATTTCTGCAAGCCGCTTCTTTAAAAGGGGCGTCTTCTCATATTAGAAGACGCCCCTTGTTTCAAGTTATTCAATCTCTTCTGCCGTGGTAGTCTCGATAGTGCGCAGGTCTCAGACTATCTTCAATTGAATCCTTGACTTACTTGACAGTTGTAAACGATGGTTTTACTAGAGCAAGGGTCCCAAAAGCCAAAGCAAAATAAGCAGAATAGATCTCCTTTAAAAATTGTTAAATAAACTTTTCCTTTCTAGTTTACTGCGAGATACTCAATTTTCATCATTTCGTTATTCATTATTATCATATGGATTAACATGCTTATTGTATTGTTTTTGTATTCATAATCTTAATGACTGTTACAGCTAGTTTAAATCGATTTTCTATGAGGACTTCGTATGTGCATGTTCAATAAATAAAAAAGTACATTACCATAATTTTCATATAATTTAGATTTAGTATCGAAGGAAAACACCCTAAGGAACCTGTATTTCAGAAATAATGTAAAAATGTATGTGATAGTATGAAAATACTGTAATAAAGTGTATCGATCTGTAATTGGGGTAAAAAAAATACCTGTTTTATTGGTTTTTCCCAATAAAACAATCAAAGCACATCATGTATGATGACTTGGCAGGCGCTAAGCGATAAACTGAAGCGGTACCAAGGTTTGTGGGTTTGGTTCCCACCCAGGCAAAGTAGGCTGCGGTTACCTTACTTAAACGAAGCGTGAAAGTATAATACTTTCATTTCACGCAAAACTTCTGTAAGGTTGTGGGACTTTCTCAGAGGAGCCTTCCCTATCTATATCTGCAACTGATTGAACGTATTCTTATATCTACAAAAACTACATATTTATTTTAATCTGGAGTGCAGAGACTAGCACTACAAAATAAAACTAATCCTAAATATATTTAAAACTAGCTGCTGCCCGCGACTACGTCTGCGTAGAATAGGCTGAAGGCGTAACATTCAGACAGAACAAATGTAAATAAAGAGATATACATAAAAAATGTATATAAATTATACCCTATGTCTTATCCTGATGTATAAGCTACATTATTGTAAAGTTTTATTAAAATCCATCCAGTAGTATTTGCGTGAAAGAGTAACAAACATCCATCCATACATACAAACTTTTGCTTTTATAATATCAGTAAGGATGTCAATGTCAATTAATAATTATTTATTGATTTTAAATATTGAATTTTTCCAGATGACCAATGGCTTGTAGCGTTTTTGCGCGGCTGTAAGTTTAGCATTGAGCGAACGAAGGAGAAGATTGATTTATATTACTCGCTCAGGGCCACCGCTCCCGAACTTTATCCTTTAAAGTATAACGAGCCGAAGTTTTTGGAGATTCTCGGTCTGGGGTTTGTTGGTTTAATATTTCGTCGCAAATGTGTCATTATTTTAAATAATGACACATCTATATATATATAGATGTATCATATATATAAATCAATCCCTATTTCCCTTGGTTACGCCATCACGCGTGAACGGCCGGACCGATTTCGCTAATTCTTTTTTTATAATATTTCTTGAAGTAGGAAGGTGGTTCTTACGGTGAGAATATTTAAAAAATTGCCTGAAAAAGTCTAAAAACAACACTTTTCTATATTCCCGTACAAAAGTTTCGTAATAATACTAAAAGTCAATTTGCACTTTAATACCATACCATAAAGTTAAAGTGTTTGTGGAGGGGTTCCGGGAAGGCAAAAGTGACTGTGTTAAAATGTCACTTAAAATGTAAACGTCACTTGGCTGTTCATCACTACATGGTATTAAACAAAGTTGTCCCGCTGTCTGTCTGTCCCTATGTTCGCTTAGATCTTTAAAACTACGCAACGGATCTTGATGCGGTTTTTTTTTACTAAATAGTGATTCAAGAGGAAGGTTTAAATGTGAAATACATAGCACCCGTGTGAAGCCGGGGCGGGTCACTAGTTTTATATATATTTCAACCCAATTTATAACAAAAATTTATTAATCACCATATCATTCTTACGATGTTTTCCGTTAACACCGTTTAATATTGGTGTTATTTTCATTGCGCCAGCTTTGTATACTCGTATGCTAATAAAATTTATCTGTGCATAAAATTCTTCTACAATTTGGAATCTTGTAAATGTTATGTCAGTCATTAATATTAAATGAATACAAATTGACGAATGAAACTAATGCTGGGGCAATTGTTGGCTAGCTATACTGGTTCGTTCGTCGTATGATCTCTTTAAATAGACATCAAATAAATGTTAAACGATACCAAAACTTTTATAGGGTACTACTTGTCTTACCAAGAACCTCAAATCCAGCAGATCCTAGAGTACTTCTCATGAGAGCAGGTGCATATGACCCAGAAAAGTACTCGGTGACCGATGTTATGTCTGTCAATGTTGTTATACAAAAAGTAAGTGTTTCACACTTTTAACTAGTCAGTTCTTCCGGTTTACATTGTAAAAATGTAATATTAGTTTCTAATTATAACATTTCTAAGTATTATTTGTAATTCTATCATCAACTTCCTGTGCGCTTGTCCCACATAGATGGTGTGGCTTAACGTGTGGTTCATCTTGTTATAAAATAAAAAGGTTGTTGGTGGAAGTTTATTATTTGTTTTAGATTCTTCTTATGGAAGATGATAATTTTGTCGTTGCTGGAGGTGTTTCGATAATGGATTTGCAATACGCTACCATGGCTCACTTCACGCAAATTAGTCCTATGATAATGAAAAAAATGACGGTAGCATTTCAGGTGTGTATTTCGTTAAAGAAAATCAACTAGTAAATATTTGAATTTTATTTATGTTTATTCAGGAATTACATAAACATTATTTTTAGCACTGAATTAAATCGGCACTTGTATAATGTAATTTTAAAAATGACAAAATACATATTTATTGTCAAGTTCTGCAGATAAAACTAAGCAGTAATGTAAACAAAAAAGTAAATAAAAATAAATAAATTGGGTGATTAAATAAATATTGAACCGTATAACAGAAAAACAATAAAATGGTTACGTGTAGGCAGTTAACAAATCTGAATTAATCGATAAGAAACCAAAAGTAGGAAATGAAAAGGAGTAAAATTTCTTCTTCTTTCCTTTATGGCGTTTTTATGAATTCGCCAAATTCCTCGTATATTCGGTGTGATTTTTATAGGTCATTTATTTATTAGAATATTCACGTATTTAAGGTTCTGATTTTGCAGGATGAAATAACTGGCCAATTGTTTTTCTCTTACTGTTTTACTGGCTTAGTAATTTGCTAAATGTGATTACAATAACCTACCGAATGTTTTAAAAACAGTTGTAAAAATTATTTCACATTTTTCATTTACATCATGTTTAAAATTTTATCCCATTGTTTATCCCATTATCTCGTAGAGCCGTGATAGCCCAGTGTCCGGGCGCTCGCCTTTAATTCAATATACCCGAGCAACCTGAGTTCGATCCCCGGTGCCGGCACCAATGAAGTTTTTAACTTTAAGTGCTGACTTATCACGTGTTCCGCGGTGAAGGAAAACATCGTGAGGAAACCTGCATATTTTCGAAATAATAACAAAAATAAATATATTTCGAAGATATGTGAAGTCCGCCAATCCGCAGTGGGGCCGCGTGGTGGACTATGCCCTGATACCCTCTGTATAGAGGAGGCCTTTGCCCAGCAGTGGGACATGTATAGGCTGTTACTTTACTCTTTTTACTACAGTTTATGTTTATGGGCCGGGTTGATTGGGAGCAATTCCTCAAGGGTTTCCTCCTCTGGAGTTCCTCAAGGCTCCTCTCTCCATTGCTCTTTTCTCTCTATACGAGTGGCATCTAAAACACTAACTTCGCGCTCCTCTGCTGGTAAGCAAACTACAAACCCAACACTAATGCGAGCGTCAATAAGCGTCGTCCGCGCAACGTCTTCATCGACCCGGTCGAAGAAGGGGACCTAAGTACATCGGACCCACCGTCGAGGGTTCCGCCAGATAACACACAGTTAGTGCAACAACAAACACCATAGTTCGTCATCGCCTTCGAGCACGGCGAAAGCAACACAACGCGTACACTAGTTACACCCGCGTTTCACCGACTAACCAAGCACAGACAACGGCTATCGGGGTCACCGAACCTCGATAGCCCGTAGGCGACACTCCTTAGCCAACGTACGCATGAGCACATGCGTGGCCCTACCAACTGTGGAGGTTCTCAAATCCGTGGGTTCTGGCCAGCCCACCGGTTCTGCGTTCGATGAAGCTTTAATAGTCTCGGGACAGAAAGCGATAACATCAGTTAAAAAAAAACTTCACTTTGGGCGAATGATTAACTACGATGATATACAGATAATAATAACGGCGCTTTGGAGGCGCCAAAGCGCCGTTATTATCATCTCGTGGACTCGTGTCGCAAATGGAGAATAGATGTCAATCTCGAGAAGAGTGCTACACTCTTATAACTCAAATACACTTCACCCGGGCCTAAACCCGTAGCTCAATTTTAAATACGTTGGTATTTAAATACCAGTAAGGTATGATGATACCTACTTGGTTTTTTTTTACTTTCCTACTTTCTATGCTCACAATAAACCAATTACGAAAAATTTGGACAGCACTTTCATTCCGTAAATTAGTTTTATTAAAATGTGGAATATTTGTGTCAATAAGAGGTCTTATTGTTCCATTTTTAAATAGAGGTGACGCTTTACATAGGTTGCACATACCACATTTTATACACATTCAATGTACTTTCAGGAAGCTACACCTATTCGAATGAAAGGTGCTCATTATTTGAATGCGCCGTCTGGTTTCGAGACTATTTTCAATTTCATGAAGAATTTCCTAAATGAGAAGAACAAAAAGCGCGTATGTATTTCAGTGTGCCCCCATGATATACTTATACACCGTGTCGTTAGAACCGTAACAATAAATGAACACACATATGGAGGATAACTTTTTAAAATTGTATTAAACATTTACATTCTTTAAACATCAATATTTACCGAGTTATTAAATTTTTAGAATATCCTTACGTATAAAACTGTAACGTAAAGTTCATTTGTAAAGGTCACAAAGCATATGATTGTGTTGAATGAATTTAAAAGATATAAAACATACGGTTAGAAGAAGAGATTTGTAATACGACGCTGTGACGCAACGAATGAAAAAGTCTCTGAATGTATGAATCCGTCAGTTGTAGTTGTATAGGATGTTACAAATTTTGTTTCTTTTTTATTTAATTAGTTTGTTTGAAAATCATTTTTTTATATTTTGGATTTTTTTATCGTTTATATTTTTTTATGATTATAGGCAAGTAGCGTTAGACGTGTGTTCATTTATTGTCGCGGTTGTAAAGACACGCTGTATAATTAATTGATAAAATGGTTTTCTTTGTAGACAGTATACACGGGATAACAAATTGAGCACATTAGTTCTTTTTAAATGCACAACTTTATAATTTCTGGGAAACAACGGCTATAATTTATTGTTGCTAATAATTTACTAAATTAAGCTATTAATTGAATAAAAAAATTGTATAGTTAAAAAACTTAACTTCGAAACCAAGTGAAAAATTGCTGGCGTAATTGAAAGTTGTAACTTTGGTGTATTGTGCTAGATCTATATACATATGTTAAGTTGATGTTTTATTCCTCTTTCTAAGCGCATGACGGGGGAAACTAGGCATAGTTGTAGTTAATGTTAAAATTTCTCATTTTTATTAATTTTAATTATATTAAAAATTTAAGGTTATTTATTTTAGATATGTTTCAGACTGGTTTACTCAAAAAATATTTATATTTTACAGTTATATGTACATACTAAAGATTCTGATTCTTTATACAAGTACGTACCGAAAGAAATATTACCCGTTGAGTATGGGGGTAATGGAGGCACAATTCAAGAACTAATTGGTAAGTTTAAAAAATAAAATGGATGTCCATGCCATGGTGTTACAAATATTAATTTAACATATGATTTTTTATGATTAATTTTATTTTTAGTGTTAGTCTCTGCACTCATTATGAAACATAAAATGTGAATTTTCTTAAATAATAATCAGTTCGAAGCAATGGGTCTGGGTGCGGTATCTGGACAAAGGTTCGAATCCCACAGCGCTGACAGTTTTTTAGCGCTAAAAATATAAATAATCACCCTTTTGCCTAAAAGGTATATTTATATTTATTACCAGAGAGAGAGAGAGATTATCCCTGGTTGTTAAATTTATATTTAAAAGTTGTTTCATATTGTAAAGTAAGCACAGTAGATGACGCTAGGCATTGCTAACAATGCAATAAAGAGAGTGAATGTATGATTAAGATGTAGAGATTTTTACGCAGTGAAGTCATCGGCCGCTTAGTTTAGAAGTCGCAGCCGAAAGTTTCTATCTTCTAAGTTCTATTTATCTACAGTCTCTACTCTTTATTTTAAACCATGACTGTTTCTATTAGATTTTTTTTTTTCAAATATGTTTGACTTTTACCCATCCTGGATATATAGGAACGTCTAACGCGAAATATTTTCTCGGATTTTATACTTTTGTCGAGAATTTTAGGAAAGATTACTATAATCATTTTATTATTATTTGCAGAATGGAACAAAAAGAAGGTATTGGAGTACAGTGCATGGTTAGAAGAGGATTTGCAATTGGGTACTGATGAGTCTAAGCGTCCTGGAAAGCCTAAAACTGCCGAAGATATTTTTGGTGTTGAAGGATCCTTTAGACAGCTTCAGTTCGATTGAATTACTGACCATTTCAGAGTATTTTGTTTCGTTGTCATGTATAATACCAATGGTAATTCATTATTTGAGCTAAAATAATGTGTAAATAAATATTAATATATATAATAATAAATATTCTCAAATTTGTTAATATAACTGTATAATTGTGAAATTGGTTCATTTTGTTGTACAGGTAAAAAGTGTGTATTAAGAATAAGATAAGGAAAGTGAATTAATTTCACGTCCGCTCCAATTTTTAAAACCCGTAATGAAAACGTTTTACAAAAACGTGTACACAAATATTTTAAATGTTAATTCATCAAGCAATTATTACGTACCGTACCGTATCTGTGTATTTAGTTAATTGTTACCTTTTGATGTATTGTAAAAATACTATATTAAGTGTGAAAATGCAAGTTTCTAGAAACTATGCTTGTATGATGCAGTCTAAGTTACGGTGCAACAACAAAAATTATGATTTAGGATGTGAAGAACAATTTGAAAAATATTATTTACATTATAATCGCTCAGTAACAATTTATGTTACTGCAAAAATACATTATCGGTAAATTTCGTAACACCTTCAAAGAGAAAGCGGTTACTTCGGTATTTTAACAAATAAAAAAAGTTTTTCTTCGCAATCTTCGCAAACTTCTTGGGTCATCTCTGAACTGTACAATTGGTGAGTTTTCAAAATTCACCAATTGTACAGTTCAGAGATGATTTTTGTCATTCATTTTTAGTTTATAAATTATTTATGTTTTTAAAATTAGTAAATGCGTGGCAAAGAGTTCACTTTGGCTATACCATGAATAAATAATAATTAATAGATTATTGGGTTAAATATGAATTTATCTTTCATATTTTATACAACAACATCAACAATTTTCTTCACATTTTCAACACTTACCAATTGCTAACTTTCAAAATATTAACATACGACATCACAATAAATGTAAATTTACACATACCATGTTCGTAAAATATAAATACTTTAAAGTCTAAGGGCTGAAAGCAATTACATCAGTTAACAAAAGACAAATATGTTACGTATATCCTGTTTATCAAAACAAGGTGTGTAAAGACTAATTATAATATAAATTTGGGCTTTTTTATAGCTATGCTTTAATTTGTGACGGTAACGGTACGTGTAATAAAACATGAATTTTGTGGCCATTTAACCGAGTAATTATTATTAAATTACCACACTTTGGATATTGAAATTAAAACAAATATATAGAAAGCCGCGACAGCTCAGTGTCCGGGCGCTCGCCTTTAATTCAATTATATTTGAGCAACCTGAGTTCGACCCCGGTGTCGGCAGTAGTGAAATTGTTAAATTTTAAGTGTTGAATTATCACGTGCTCAGCGGTAAAGGAACACATCGTGAGGAAACCTGCATATTGTCGAAATAATAATTAAAAAAAAAAAATATTTCTGTCAATCTGTTTTATAGAATGGAATATCAACATGGGGAGGATCTAGCAAAAGTTTATTCCTGGCAGTTGAAAGAGCCAGAGTTAGGCAGCGGAATTATCATCCTTAAAGCTCTCCTTCACGTGCATAAAAATCTCAAACGCAGGTCCGACCTATCAGTCTTTACTTACGAGAAAAAACCAAGTGTATTTAGTATTCCCAAACCCCGCTTTAAGTCCCTATTCGCTAGATGTTGTCCAGCTTATTTACATACATTGTTTACAATTCAGTTATAAAACAATGCGATTTCAAAGATCTGTCCTATTCAGCATGTAAACCCGTTGCAAAGCACTGGTTGCTTTCGCTAAGTTATGAATGATGATTCTGATAGAGTACTGTTTGGGTAACGTACGTAACGACACTCACACACACACACACACACATACGCGCGCACACGCACACACTCACTCACTCACACACGTACACATATACTCACACACAAGCTTTCTCTCTCTTACACACAAACACACACACGCGCGTGCGCGCATGAATACTCGCATTCCGCTTCGTGCTTCCACACGGAACGGACGTTACTCTGAGCCGGAGGGCCCATGCCAACCGACCCGGAAGCCATCTTGCAACCGTTGTTGCTAATTCTATTTCTTTTATCTCTTGGTGTGCACTGTTCGCCTCATCGTTGTCGTGTTTCGCGGTCTACGGTTAGGGAAGTCTCAAGCAAGAAGAAGAAACATTATAGAAGAAAGAAAAAACATTATAGAAGAAAGAAAAAACATTATAGAAGAAAGAAGAAACTTTGCCCGACTTCCGAGCGGATAGTGTTAGTGTAGTGTTGTGCTCGTAGGCAGGTTCCTGTCCGTAAGTAGAATTCTACACACATTTCTCGTCTCAGAGGCGGCATTGTAATTTTTACCTGTGTGCTTGTAGCATTAGGCGACAGCGTAGGTATTAGGTACTCACCCTAGCGCACCTAAAGCGCAGGCGATTAAAGGTTAATTTTAGGCACACACCTCCCTGCCGCAAGGTGGGGAGGCCTATTTAGTAAACCACACGCCGGCGGGGCGCAAGCCCCAAAGGCTCAAGCGTCGACATGGGTGCCCTCATAGAGGGCCCAAATTGAATCAATGCCCTGAATTATGGGTAAAATATTTGAATTTCGCGAGGGAACGACGCATCGTCGTCGAATTTTCAAGCGACAGTCCGGCTTCACCGGCTGCCGCCTCGCCGCCATCTCCGGTGCCCTCTGCGCCAGTCATCGAGTCGCCCTCTGCGACAATCGATACGCCCGTCGCGTCGACTTCCGCCGCCGCGAACGAACCCAACGCGCCTTCCGCGCAAACCATTTCGGCCCCCTTCCGCGCTGTCGTTCCCGACTCACAATCGGACGGCGGCGCAGACATGGAGGTCGAAATGACCCCCGCTAACAACGCGAACGCCGACGGCTTCACCGTCGGCAAATCGCGAAAAAAGGGCAAGAAACGCCCCGCTACAGACAGCGACCCCGAAAGCGAGGCCGCCCCGTCAAACCGTCCCACCGCGACGCCCGCCAAAAAGGCAGCCGCGTCTGCCCAGTCGGAACCGACATTCGCCTCCGAGCGAAAAATCAAGCCACCGCCGCCAATAATAATACAAGATAAGGCAAAGTGGCACCAGGTTTGTTCGTGGTTTGAACGCCACAACATCCGAGACCCCCGGTCAAAAAATACTAATATGGGTATCCGCGTATACCTCGATTCGTCGGACGATTTCCGCCGCGTAACAAAATACTTGCGCGAAGCTAAGGTAGGTTTCCACACCTACTCACTACCCGAAGAGCGTAAACTTCGGGTCGTAATTAAGGGCGCCCCAAAAGAGTCGGATGTCGATATGGCTAAGGTCGACATCCGCACTCAGGGATACCCCGTCCACGCCGTGCGACGTCTCAGGCACCCTCGCACCCGTGTCCCTATGGACATGGTCATGGTGGAACTTGACCCTACCCCGGAAGGTAAGGCCATTTTCAACCTTAAGAGGGTCTGTGGGCTCAGTGACTTAGTCATCGAGCCCCCACGTAAATCAGGTGTTGTGGCACAGTGCCACAACTGTCAACATTTTGGCCACACGGCCAATAACTGCTTCGCTCACCCAAGGTGCGTCAAATGCACCGGTGACCACGGCACAACCGAGTGCACGAGGCCGAAAGATTGCGCAGATTCACCGGACTGCTTAAATTGCCACACTACCGGCCATCCGGCTAGTTATAGAGGCTGCGCTAAGGCCCCGAAAACTCCCGCGAGAAAATCTCCCGCGAAGTCGACGTTGCCCAAACCCGCGCCCGTTAAATACATTCCCGCGCCCGTACCCGTCGTTAACGCCTGGGCGAAACCCCAGGTGGCCGCGCAGGTAACCGCGCCGGTAATCCCGGTTGCCTCACGACCGATCGCGCAACAGCTGCCCGCCTCTCAAACGGCGCCGCGGCCGCAGGTGCAGCCAACTCCGTCAGTTTTCGCGGAAAACAAGGACGACCCCTTCGCGCAAATAGCTAACATCTGCAGCTTATTAGATAGAATTAATAGGCAGGAACTCGCCGTATTGTCCGCTAAAATATAGCGGCCGCCACATCTGGCCACGAGCGTCTTAGGGCAATTAGCCAACACAAAACGCTTGTGGAAGCCCTTTGGGCTTTTACGAGCCAACCGTAAAGAAAAATAGTCCGCGCAATAAAACCGCGCTCCGTCGCGTCGTTAATTAGACCCATAAAAACACCTTAATGGGAAGTACAACCGCAGGTAGAACAAAACCTCGGGCTCTGGTTGTTTCGTATTTCAACGCAAACGGCATAAAGGGTCAAAGGGATGAAATCGCGGAATTCCTTCGCGATTATAACGTAGATATTTTCCTAGTGCAAGAGACATTCTTGAAACCTAGCGTACGCGATCCCAGAATCGCAAATTACAATATTGTCCGCCACGACCGGTTAGCAAACCGTCTGGGAGGCACACTAATTTATCATAAACGGTCCTTGCACTGTTGCCCGCTCGACATTCCAGAGCTAAGTCAAATAGAGGCATCCGCGTGTAGGTTAGCGCTCACCGGCCACAGGCCGCTTGTACTAGTCTCAGCCTACCTCTCGGGGAATAGAACCCTCCTTCAAAGCGACCTAGATACGCTTCTTAACTTAGGCCCTTCCGTGATAATTGCAGGAGATCTAAACTGCAAACACGGCTCATGGGACATCAACAGCATCCCAAACAACAACGGAAAGCATCTCTTTAGCTTATCCGATAACCTAAATTTCAGTATAGTCGCTCCCGCGACTCCCACTAGGTATCCTACGGTGGACAACTACCAGCACGCGTCACCGAGTGTCCTAGACATAATGTTATTCAGGGAGGTCTCGCTCGACATCGAGTCGATAGAGACAATCCATGAACTAGACTCAGACCACAGGCCCGTCCTGTGTAAACTGGGCCAGAACGCCGGCGCGGTCCCTCCGACCAAATCCGTAGTGGACTGGCATCGTCTTGAGGTCAAACTCAAGGCCTTGGACCCCCAGGACTTAGTAGACTTACCCGAGACGATAGCTACGTTCGATGACGCAAATC